TTGTTAGATAGCGCCCAGTGTTCAAGTCTGTCCAGCTGTTTGAGAGTAGCAAGAAGAGGGTATATTCGAAAGGGTGGTGTTGTGTCCTGAGCCTGCAAAAGCAGGCTCGGGACGTTGCAAGAGTCCCGGGCATTTGCAAAAGCTGCCCGGGACCAGACTGAGCGGCGCCGGCCTTGCGCGCATGCGTAAGGCGGGAAAATACCGCCTTGTCATTGGTTGGAAATGCCCGGGGATCAGAAGGTATAAATAGAGGCCTGCGTGCCTCTGCTCGGGTTGTTCGTAGAATGGAAGCAGAGAATAAAGACTTGTTAGAAATGCTTCGTCTCAAGCGCCATTATTCTCCGGACTTAACAGGTGGGGTTGTAGAAATGCTGTGATCTTTAATGGGGAAAAACCCCTATGATCTGCACTGGGCCTAGAACAGAGCACTGGGGCACCCCACTACACACGCCCAGTGTCTCGCTTTCTAGACTTAACCACTAGGTTAACCACTTTTTATTGTTGTAAGCCACCCAGAGTAGTCCCATGGCAAGATAGATGGTAAATAAATTTAACAAATAAATAACTAAATAAAATTAGGAAGATTAAATAAGAAAGTAAATATGACTTTGTCTAGGCTGGGCATTAAAAAGTCTAGAGTCAGCCCTGGGAGTATTGGTCCTTGTAGAAACATCCATTACAAACTAAATAATGAAACAGGCATTGTAGCATCATGAAGCAAGCTCCGCCCATTTTAAAAAAATTGCTCACCTCCCAAAGCCACTTGGTAAGATGTAAAAAAAAATTTGATTAATTGAATGTATGTATGTATGTACCATATGTATGTACCGTATGTATGTATGAATGAATGAATGAATGAATCAATGAATGAATGAATGAATTGCATGCATACATATGAGTGATAGTCACAATGTCTGTGGACCCTGGGAACTGCTACATCTGTGACTGTGTTTGCATCAAGAAAGGCACTAAATGGAGCTTCATTGCAAACTGCACTAAGATCATCATTCTTTAAACATTCTCGCCCTTATTCACCAAGCATTTTCCTCTCCATAATCTCTTGATGTTGTTATATTTGGAAGAATTATCTCATCTCAACGGAAGTCCCAGAGTGGGGTGAAGATGGAGGGATTTATTTTGCGACAGCTGGAGAGCAGCTGGCCCCGAGGCGAAGCTTCACCCAGGCACCTTCCTGCTCTTAAGTCTTTTCATAGGGCTAAGATTTCACACAGCTGTTTGAGAGTAGCAAGAAGAAGGTATATTCGAAAGGCTGGGGTTGTGGAAATGCTGTGATCTTTAATGGGGAAAAACCCCTATGATCTGCAGAATTTCATTGTCTGGCAATCTTCTATGTGGGGAGTTTCAAAGCATGTAGATAACAATCTCAACAGACATATACATAAGCTACCTATTTGCCTAAATGTAGAACCTTACTTTTTTCACCATTGAATTTCATTTTGTTAGATAGTGCCCAGTGTTCAAGTCTGTCAAGATCCTTCTGTATCTTAAGCCTGTCTTCTGGAGTGTTGGCTATTCCTGCCAGCTTGGTGTCGTCTGCAAATTTGATGAGTTCCCCATCTAGCACCTCATCCAAATCATTGATGAAGATGTTGAAGAGCACTGGGCCCAGAACAGAGCCCTGGGGCACCCCACTACACACACCCCTCCATGTAGATGCAGTTCCATTGAGGACCACATGCTGAGTACGGCCAGTCAGCCAGCTACGAATCCATCTGGCAGTGATGTTGTCTAACCCACATTTTTCTATCTTATCAAGTTGTAGGTTGTGGTCTACTTTATCAAATGCCTTACTGAAGTCCAAAATATATCCACATTATTCCTCTGGTCCACTAATTTTGTCATCTGGTCAAAGAATGCAATAAGGTTTATCTGGCATGATCTGTTTTTGACAAACCCATGTTGGCTTTTGGCAATGACTTTTGGCAATGACCTCTCTGTTCGCTGATTCGTTGTTTGATTATCTTTTCCAGAATCTTCCCAGGTATTGAGGTCAGGCTGATAGGTCTGCAGTTTCCTGGATCCATCCCCCCCCCTTAAAAATAGGAACTATATCAGCTCTTTTCCAGTCCTCTGGTACTTCCCCAGTGCTCCAGGATCTTTAAAAGATATAGTTCAGTGGTTCTGAGATCACATCTGCCGGTTCCTTCAGAACCTTGGGGTGTAGTCCATCTGGTCCTGGTGATTTGAACTCGTCTAGGGTGGACAGATGCTCACTTACTATTTTCTTGTCTATCTTAATTTGTGTTTCTAATCGGTTTTTTACGATACTGTTTTTGATAGGTTGGATTGTTTTTTCTTTTTGTGTAAAGACAGATGCAAAAAACAAGTTTAGTTCTGCTTTCTCCCTGTTGCTTTTCAACTTCTTGCCACTTTATCCCACTAATGGACCAATCATTTCCTTAACTTTTTTTTCTTGTTTTTTACATGTTGAAAGAAGCTTTTTTTGTTATTTTTGACTTTTGTCGCAAACCTTAGTTCATTTTGAGCCTTAGCTTTCCTCACTTCATCTTTGCAGGCTCGGGCTATTTGCTGATATTCTGACTTAGTTATGTGCCCCTCTTTCCACTTTTTATACTTGTCCTTTTTATCTTTCAATTTATCAGAGAGTTCTTTATGCAGCCATGCTGGTTTCTTTTGAGAGCTGTTATTTTTCTTCTTTGTTAGTATTGTACTAGACTGGGCTTTTATAATCTCGCTTTTCAAAATTTCCCAAGCTTCTTGAGTTGTTTCCCCTTGAGGATTCTCATCCATAGGATCCTTCCCAAGCTCTCTCTAAGTTTATTGAAATTAATAATAATAATAATAATAATAATAATAATAATAATAATAATAATAATAATAATAATAATAATAATAATAATAATAGTAAAGTTGGAAGGGACCTTGAAGGTCATCTAGTCCAACCCCCTGCTCAGGCAGGAAACCCTATACCATTTCGGACAAATGGCTGTCCAGTCTCTTCTTAAAAACTTCCAGGGTTGGAGCAT